GTCATTCTACGTAAAAAAGTCAATACTTCAATAAGTACAGTTGTAAAGAAACTATTAATAATCGTGATATTAAAAAAAAAATATCTTTATCAAAGGAGATTCTCGAACGCTTCATGGCGATTCATCGCTTCAAATGCCATAAATTCTGCAGCGGATGCAACGCAACGGATAATATTGCAGTGTGTAGCAATAACAGGAGATCACCTTAACTCAGTTATAGAAACAATTGGAAAGTGTTGTCTGAAATGTTTACAGTGCAATGGAGAAGCATTTGAGCATCTTCTTCGATAAAGACATTTTTTAAAAATATCTCAGTAACTAATTTTTTCACTATTGTATGCCAGTAGCTTTCTACGTAGAACAAATAAGAGGACTCTGTCTATGTAAAAGGATATAAATTTCTATTTAGAAAAAGAATACAGTTGTTGATTGCGCATTCACCATTGCAGTTCTAAATGAAAAAACAAATATGGTCCCACGAATGTGTAGTACTCTTTTCATCTCTCCATTCGTCTCTCTCTTTTAACACTTTTCTGTAACTTCATTGGTAAAGAAGTTATAACTCGAATCAATCGTGTGGATCATCCTGTATATTAACATTAATGTAGCGTTCACGAAATCAGAAATGTTGTAAAAAATTATACTGTCTTTTTAAATCGTAAACTAATATGTTTTAGCATTATATCCATCTGCAATATTATATACAGTTTTGTTGCTTTCACGTTACGTTATTTCACTACATTAAATATGGGGGAAAAGGTTCACGAATTTAATATTTACCTACTATAGTAAATACACAACGTTACTTGATAATGATTAATGATGACAAAATGATACAATAATTTCACTAGAATCAAAATTGACTTGCCACTTTTCTATGATTTCTTTATTATCTCGTTTCATTAATATACGATAGTCTTCTATTTATTTCCTTTATGTTAGTTTAGCGCAATGCTTTCTACTTTTCGTAATAATCTCATCTTGCCTGAATTAATTACACGCTGTTAGTTTCGATAAATTAGTATTTGGATTCTTGTTGTTTCAACACGTTACAAATATTTCCTGCTATTGTTAAACCGAACGTCCTTAAATATAAAGTGACTTTTTCTAAATAGGCATTCGCTTTATTATCGGATAAATTGGAACCACTGGTCGAAGGTGTTAGAAAGAATAAACAACATTGGCTCGAGATCGCGGAATCCAAATGTAAAACAGACAACTGCACGAATCACGATAGGACGCTGTCAGTGTCCGATACCGAAGAAACTAGGGAACAGGCGGATCAGTAGTCATTATTTCGATGGACGCGGAAACATGAAATGGAGACAAATGTACACGGATAGTTTCTACCTGTTTTTTTAGAACGAAGAATAAACAGAACACGATGTCAAAGGGAGCAGCAGATGATGATCACTGTCATACGTTTGAAGAGCTTCACACCTTCGTCTTGATACTAGGTATTACAAACATCGTGAGTTAATTTATTCATTAATATTGATCATCGCGGCACGTTCTTTGTATCGATGGTTCATAGTATTACAAATATAAAGAAAAAGTTCTTCAAAGCCATATGTAAAACTTCGTTTGTTTCGATGGATCGTTAATCGTATGTGTCAAATGTTTGCCAGTTTTATTTATTTGCATGTGATTCCAAGTCGAAATTTAATGCAAATAATTCGTCCTACGTTCGTTCGAGTATCTTAAAAGAATAAAAATTATTTCTAGCAAGATTATCGTGTACGCTTTATACGTTGGTCGATGAATTCAGAGAAATCAAGGAGGCTGAAGGTGATTAGTTTAAGACGATCAAGAAGCTTCGTCCTCTCTAAAAACAGATCAACCCCGAGATGCTACTCTTGTACCTGATCGTATTGTACGTATACTTACTATGGCAGATCTTTGATGTCCAGAGAGGACGAAGAAGAAGAACGATAGAATATGAGAAATCCAATAGGATCGTAGAAAGCTTCTTTTCTCTTCGTGTGCGAATTCTATTGCGAATTGAAGACCTGTGGCTTGTGACATATTTTATGCTTTTACGTATAAATATAATATCGACGATTAATTACGGCAATGTATTTTTCAGCGGAAATATATAAAATTGCGTAATCCACTAGAATTTCATGCGAAGGATGAAATGACGGTGCTATCGAAGTAGATAAAATAATACTGTTCGCTCATTAAACGCTTCTTTTCTTCCTTCTTTTTTCGTTCGTAGAACTCATAAAATGACAATGACATTGTTTTATTCAAAAATCTAAACAAAGCCTTTCGCGAAACGAGATGGAACGAGTAAAAACGCGAAATTGAATTTTGAATACGTATTGAAACTAAAATGCGTATTATCAAAGTATGTATTGCTTGATCAAAGAGTCGCTTGTCCAAAATTTACTTTCATTTTTCTTATTATACGTGTAATTATAATATGTTGTAGATATGTCCGTTTGCAGTATTTTAAGCGATAAGAAAACGACGTTATTTTTATTTTTGTTAACAGGGAACATTGATAGTTATACAAATTTTATACGAGTATGGCTTATTAAATTCTTAGTAAATAAGAAATGAAACTGTAAATACATAAGTAACAAAGTGAGTAGAAAAATGCTTATAAGATGTTAAGCATATGTGTATATGAATCTCGTTCTTTGAAAAAATTACAGGTCTTCAATTATAGCGAGACAGATGATTCCACGATAATTACGTAAATGCGGATAAAGAATACACAGTTCTGTCTTGAGATCGCGTTTACAGGGAACTTGTCTCCGATTTATGGACTCGTCCGACCAAGATCGAGTCTTTCGTGTAATTATATAATGTATTCATAAACCAAAGTGTACGTTTATACATAAAGGCCAATCGTGATTTTTATTACTCGATACCGCAACGATTTCAAATGCTGTTGCGCGTGCTAATTATTACGATTAGTGATTAGATGTAACGGGAATTAATTTTCTCGTTGCTTATCTTGCTTATTTTGAATGTTTTGTAACATCGTTTAGATTCGAGTAATCGTTTTCCTCTTCGCGCAAAGCTATCGTTTCAGAGTATAACAATTAAGATTTAGGAAATATTTGTAAGAAACGCGACGTCTGTATAATATGTGTCTCTATAATTTCGGATAGACAAGTTCTTGTTATATCGTAAATGTATATTAACGATTATCATAAATTACGGATCAAAAGAATGAACATATCATTGCGATTTTATTAATGTTGTTAAAAATTCTGACTTGTGTGTTATATCAGTGCTCTGTACACTGACACACACACATCGATATATCGAGGCTTGGAACTAAATAAATGACGTTAAAAGGCGAAGTTTAAACACGTTTGGCTAGGCGGTGCGTCGCAAGCATGATATTTTAGTAAATTTTTTGTTTACTAAATATCCATTTGTATCATCGAAGGATACTCATTTTTTGGGAGGCCTCTGTCGATTTCGCAGTGTTGCATATTGTCAGAGTTACATATCCAACCTCAAGGTAGAAACGTAGCTTTGCGAAGACGAAAACACTTCAGGATTCGTTCGCGTGTGATCGTTACTTATATTGGTAGTCCGTATTTTATATATGTTCCTTTTATCGTTCGAATGTTCTTTTTCTTCTAATCATTAATGAATTGTTAATTTCAATGACTCTATAATTGGAGTAGGAATGTATAAGAAGTGTGATAAAAATTATTCCGTGTGTCTGTTACAGTGCGAGTGAATGTTATGCCTACAGAAGCGATATAATGTACAGTTTTCGTGTAAATTATTGATACGTCAAAATGGAGTTGTTTAGCGTGTATGTTGTTTACGTTATGATTTAACATATAGTATGAGAGTCATATATTATACCGAACATTTAATATATTAAAACAAGACTAAATTATGTGATATATCTATAACTTATCTTTAGTCATTTTATTTTCCCGTTTTTCAAATCATATCCTATAGATTGAATGCTCTGCGACACCAGTAAATATCACTATTAATACATACATACATACATATATGTATATGTACGTTTAAACCTAGTCTTATAAAAGATTATTTTCGAAAATTTACCTCTGCAATATCGATACGATATTTTCACACTTAAAATTTATGTCGATTCTTCAATTAATATTTACTTTATTCTATCACGTGTTTCTATTATTAAAAAATCACTGATACATTTACTTCTGATTTTGTTCGTTAACACGTGTATTTTAATACGTGACAATAATTTACACGCTTGCGTTTCTTTCTTTTTTTTTCTTTTCGTTATTTTGATAATCGGAAAACGTTCTTTCCCCGTTATTTCTTTTAAACTTTCGAAGGAAATATTCGTATTGCATGGAATTACAGTATTCTTAATATGTTAATGTATCATTGAGTTTCGCGAAGGTGCCTATGTTAAATAAAGAAACCATATGAATATTTTATTCAACTTGATACATGAATTCATTCAGTTCATTCGTACGGTTTACCGTATCTAATACTCTAGATAATCTAGACAGTATACTGTCGAAAAAATGTTTGTTACCATATTCTGTCTGCAACTAACTTGTTACATTAAAAAAAGAAAAGAATTATCTAGATAGTAATATAAAAAATTTTCGAACTACAAGTTCACCACAAAGTTCATTGCCCCGATTTACGTATATCCCACTCCAACTAAAAATACGAAATCCATCACCTGTTGCCTTTCTCTTGACAAAAGGAAGATATATGTATGTATATACGATTTTACTAAATTATGACGATCTAATTATACAATAAAGATAAAAAGTAAAATGAAAGCTACAGTTGTGCTAGATGTAAATATTAAAATTTATACCTATATGTATACTCATCAGTTTTCAATCTCTACATTTTAATCTTTTCAATCTGCAATATTCCGCTTGTTCTACATATTTCAACTGTCAGAAGCATTCTCGATGTCATGTAACTAGATAATATACGGCGTATATGGATTATCAATTATAAATTTGATGTTAAATAGTAAAGATATAAAAATAAAATATGCAATTGGGACCTTTTGGTATTAATTCTTCTTAAGCGCAATACAATACAAAGTCTTGATCCATCATTTGAATAGAACGATTAATTGTACTTTAAAACGTCACCTTAACGGACTGATGACTCATAGCCAGAGAAGGTATGTACGATCATAGAGGAGGCCGGATCAATAGTTGACAAATTGTATTTTGCAATGTGGGTCAATCGCTGACACGTAACGACAACATGATGTTGCAAGCTTGTCTCGATGGACCTTGATTACCGATGCCAGAACCATCATGAAAAATAGCCAACAAATAATATTTTTATTACAGTTTCAAATTAAAGGTAACATCGATTAATACAATCGAAAATAAAACATTCGGTTACTCTTGAGTAGGTTGACGATTTATTTCTTCTTCGAAATTCTTTTGCAATTACCAGTTAACACCGTGGTATGGTAAAATGTTGATACAAGGTATGTACAATGATACGGATTTATCGAACGAGCATGATTACCAATATACTTTAATAATAACAAAACTTTGTAGATCGTAAAAATTGGAGTTTAATATTGATCAAGGAATATCGATACGATTGTATCCTGTAGCTAATTAATATTGTGTACAATTGACTGTCAATAATAAAACGTTTATCCTCATCGTATTGTTTACAAAAATAGAATGATTATCGGTATCGCGCAGCGAGATGCGTGTTGATGAACATTTTCGTTAAACGGCTCGTTTAAATTTCAGATTTCGCACGACCGACAACATGATTTCATTTCCGGAATTGACAAGGCGTTCACGAACTTCGCAGTGCCTCAAATGCTGTATAGCTTCGCCATTCACTTTAGTCACTATGTCGCCAGCTTTTAACCCAGCTTGATCGGCCAATCCCCCGAGAGATACCTTTTAATTAAAAGAAAACGTTTTATTTGATTAAATTTCAATGACTATTCGAACATTGCATACTTTCACTAAAACGTTACTACAGTCACATATTGTTACATGCGTTGTAGATACCATCATAGCAACTGCTACAACTTGCAAGATTGCAATCGAATAAAAAAGCTTCAGAGAAAATGTGTTATCGAAGTGATTATAGCGAAGTCGAATTTTGCTATTAGAGATCTCGCCGTGGAAACTCGAGGTAACAGCGAAATACAAGCCAAGGATGAAACTACCGCCGACGAAAAATTGTTGAGATTCACAAATATCCAGCAGTTTCTCATCTACGATTCGATTAATGATTTCCTCTTTTCTCAGAACGATGTTCCGCTGGGCCGGCCGTAGGATTCAGGCCGAAGGAAAACGAGGTCACGCGATCCGATACGAATGCAATGTCGATAAAAATCTCTAAAGCAGAAAACGTGAATATTTTCCGCGATAGTTTTTTTCAAATATACGATATTATCGAATTGTGGCGCGATCCACGCTTCCAATCGAAAAACACGATGTATTTAACACGTATGAGAATTATTAATCGACTTACTAGCGCGATTCTTGTACGATTGCAATGAATATTAGTAGATTAGAGTAGAGTACATGCTATATATTACTCTGACAACAGTCATCGGAAAACTAAAGTCAGCCCCTCCGGACAATCGAAAGCCCCAAGCTTGATTGCTGCTTCTAGAGAGTTTTATATCAACGTCCATAGTAATTGAAAGATGATCGCCTGTAACAAAGACACGAGATTTAATAATATAATTAAAAACAGTTGCAAATTAATGTACAGTGATAGAAATCGTTAAAGTACAGTAACCTTTCTTCTTTGAAACTGTTGTAAAAAATAAATTACGTAAAAAGAATTTTGAAAATTTACCGTAAAGTGAAATTACGATGCATTGTAACTAACGAAATTAGCATAAAGGTAAACTGTATATTGAGGAAATTTTTTATCACTGATAGATAATTAATTCGTTTTAGTTTTTTTTTTATTCTTCTATTTTAATATCGATCGTTTGGATATTATGTATCGATCTTTTTTTCACTGTGAGTATCTTAGGTGTTAGAAATTTAAGCTGGAATATCTCCTTTGTGTATTTCCTCTCAGTAAAAGTAACGCCTAACGTTTAAATGTTATCAGAGAATGTTACTATACGCGTTATTGGAAAGTTTTCAAGGCACAAGGATGAAAAAGTTAACAAGAATCTTGCAATTAATCGGAAGTTACCTACCGATCGTTTAACGATTTATCGGAAGTGGAGTTTGTAGGAAAGTTTCTTAGTCGATTTATGAGATACGATGTAGGAAGAAAGTCAGTCAAACATTTCCACAAATTGGACGATCGGGGCAGTACTTTCCAACGTTTTATGCAGCGTTGACGAAATTAAAAATAGAAATGTATATGTACTAACAGTTTCAATTTATAACGAACATAAAATTGGTGACAGAGGTTCAACCCTTTAGCCTAATCGAATCCTTGTTTAATTAGAAATTTCCCTAATCACGAGAGTGAATGTTCACAAAGGTAACTCTATTTCAAATAGATCGATTTTAATTCTTCAAACCTTAATATCACGTAACTTATTTGCGGTATAAATAAAACTACACATAAAAAGATATGGGATTCTTAAATAAAGAAATTATTATATTTAAAAAACTAAGGACCCGAGTCATCAGTTAACTCGATTAACAGATAACAATAGATGATTATAAACAAAGCTGAACGCGATAATTTGATATACTTAAACCCGTGACTCGTTAAGTGTCTCTTGTGAGTGCAAAATTGTGTATAATTTTTTTTCGAAAATCCATGTCAAACACTTGTTCGATTCATCGATACTGAAAACCGATTATTAACACACCATGTCTCGTTGTTTATGATTTTTTAATCACGCGTAATCTTTACTCTATTTTGTTATCGCGCTTAACGAAGTCCGTTTATTTGAAAATCGACTTATTTGTACGCAAATGCTCGCAATTCAAGCGTTGCACAGTGGTAGACAGATGGAAGAAAAGAAATCAATTTCTTTCACTCACCTCAAGTAATACGACAATACGAAAAATCCTTCGAATTTCGATAAAAGGATACGAACTCTGAAGAAGCTCGATCAAAGAGCGAAATGTCGCGGAGACAGATATCCGTCGATAGCATGTACGATGTGTCACGAGTATGCGCACATAAATAAACGATGGCCAATGCCCGAAAGCTGATCATGACTTAATTCGCTATATCACCATTTGCACTATTCTAGAGCAAGTGCAGCGAATACAATGCCGTGGCCAGCTTCGAATTTCGTACTATAGACACATTATACCCTACATACTATTTCAGATGCAACAAGCGTTGCGAGACCGTGCTAGACATGCGGCTGAAACCAAACACACTCCACCCCTTTCTAATTGCATTTATCGGTTCTATCTATACGGGTTGTAATTCATCGTTTAATAAATTGAATTTTTAGATGTATCGAATATCGTCAATTTAACGTAATGGAACGGTTTCGTGGTTTTAATTAATAAACTTATAATGTCTACGCGTTTGTTGGAAAAGCCGCGAAAATCGATACAACACGTTAAACACGCAGAGACATGAAATGAATCTCAAGTATGGCACTGGTCATAAAATTGAACAACTAAAAGAATTCTATTTCATTCGTCGAACGCCGTGAACACATAAAGTAAACATGTCTGTTTTATCATCAAAATCGATTACACAATGTTAATTTCATGACATTAATTGGATGAATATCTTGTGATGTTAACCCGGTCGATTCATAATTATCTCGGCATAAGTGTGCAATGTTTCGAACAAAAATTAATTGCGTTTCATTAGTTTAATGTACCGTGTATGAAAGAATCGCCGCGGTGTACGGTTATCTATTTTAGGAAAGCGATGAAAGATATTATTTTTATGTATATAATGTATTTATGTTAGTATATTTTGTAAAGCTTGCTTCACACGTAAGATCGGTAAAAAGGTACTGTATTACCATAATTACTAGGCCCTTATATTTCTCCGAGATAACGAAAAGCATCATTAAGTATTTCCTTCACTTCTTAAGAACAGCTTCTCATTGAAATGCTGAAGTACCGCTACGAGTACTGGGTACTTGTTTCTAAGAACGAGTCACACAGTGCAATATTGGCCGTTTCAACGGTCTAGTCGATTCAAAGGCGCACCTATTTTAAGGTTTAATTGGCCGAAATAAAATTGTTTGGTACAATAAATTTACTGCCGATTTTCGCTCAACTTCGGCTTTGCTATACTATTGTATGTTTCAGAAAATGGCATTCGTTTTAGAGCGAACGAAGCGTGATAATTCTATTCTCATGTAGACTGAAAAATAGGCCTTTTTAGAAAGAAATTAAAATATTTTGAGATAGTGCAGGAATAGAACTGTATAAATTTTATACACAGGTCTATTTATTATTCGCATAAATTCTAGGTATCTTGGAACTTTCTACTGTACTTTTAACAAAGACGGAGCCAATATAGATATAAATATTGATGGATCAGTAGAAACCAATTGTAGAATTTCATTTTCTACCAAGTCATTTATAGAGGCACCTAATTCCATTCGTTAAATAACTAATTTTTCGATACGACGGACTACTGACGTACTTTGGTAGAGAAATGTCAATAATTCTTTGAACCATGAGTATTTATTTATATATATATTTATATAAAGTTTTCATATATCTTGCAAATTATTCAATTTACTGCGCAACTAACTACGCAATTAGAATTTTATAAATTCTACAAGAATTCTCCGACTGCCAAGGACCTGTCCAGACATAGTTAAACATTAAATTAGTGTTCAATCTGCAAGGATATCATGAAGTTATTATGTATTTTATAAAATACATATGTATATATATATCATAGTTTGTAGTATAAATATACAGTTACGAATAAATTACTTTCATTATGGTAACTTATTTTATCATTCATGGTTATCAGATGCTACACCTATTAATTTCTTATTTATCAGATCGCACCGAAGAGGAAGTTTAAAGAGAAGACAAAAGATTTCTTATATAATTAGAATAAAAAATTATGCACGATATGAGAAATAAGAGGAAAATAATAATCGTCATCATCATACGTACCAACTTTATAGTTCCACACCTGTTTAACTTGCATCCTACTGTAAATTTCTTTATCAACTTGAAATAGTTATAAGTAGCATTTAATGTTAAAAGAAGAAAAAGAAAGGAGAATGAAACTATGAACCAAGATTAAAAGATTGGATTAAAGATAAGGTTCAAAATATCAGTTATTGGTTAAAAAATGAACTTATCAAAGTTTGAACGTGCTTTGTATAAAATCATAATCCATTTCCGAATATTGTACTTTATTTGGTGATTAAATTTTGTCAGCAGTGCTGGTTATATAATGCGATTTTCGTTATTTCTAATTAGTTTTCATATATCTTGCAAACTATTTAATTTACTGCGCAATTAACTGTGCAATTAGAATTCTATAAATCCTACAAGAATCTTCCGACTGTCAAGGACCAATCTAGAGATAGTTAAACATTAAATTAGAGTTCAATCTGCAAGGATATCATGCGTTTATAAAATTAGGAGTGGACTAATTAATGACACTATACTAGTGTAAGATAAGCTTATAACTTAAGATACACCAATTAGTGGATAAGCCGTACTAGTTTGCATAAAATGGAATGTAAATATTTCAGCGTGAGAAATATCGAGAAATTGCAAAATAATTATCAGTTCTGTTGTATATAAACGAATTTTAATTCATACCATATATATATACTCAACTGAATTAGAATAGATTAGAACGCAACTGAAAGCTGTTCTTTTAATTCAAGCGTAAAACCATTAACGAATCGTTTTTCGAAATGACTATCTATAAATAACGACTTTTATTTCAAATAATAAAAACGAACACAGAATCGATCCCCATTCTTCTATAAGAAACGAAAAAATTCTGCAATTCACCGCCGTATTGAGGTGCAACGTTTTATCATAGAACGATAGAGCTTTTCAAATCGTTTCAACGTTTTCATCTAATTGCAATCAAACAAGAAATGTGCTAGTTGCTCCAAACCACCCTATAGAGAGGCGATGGGCCACGTAGCTAGGAGATCCGTGGTTATGGGCGGCGTGGCGAGGCGAAGAGAAGCGACGCAGCCCGTACCCGTGGTGAATTTCCTCGAGTGGAGGCAAAGTTTGATTTTGCGGAGGGCGCACGCCCCGCTTCCAGCTGCACAACCGACTGGCCTTTAAGCAGTCACGAACGAACCCTCGTTCGTTGCAGCCGTAGAAAACCTCTTCGTTTCTGCGCGACTTCCTCCTTTTTCTTCACTCTCGTCAGTGAAAACGAATCGCCTCGAATCTCGAGATCGCTATCCATAAATATCAGTTACGTGTGTGATATTCTCGATATTAACAGTGTGACTGTGATCCATTTTCTGTTTGGGTTTCTCTAACGTTCTATCGCTGCAAGAGATGCTGCTGGAAATAGAGGGCAAGGGCTACTTCTCGTAAGTATATTCCTATGTTACGACGCTCGTCGAAAGATGATAAGCTTAGCCAGTTTAGACGGATCTTGCTTCGATTCGATCCTCGCCGCGATTAATCCATTAAGAATTTCGTTAGTAGCGAAATTTGTCGTCACTGGATGCAGGCGAGCTTATTGAATTAGCTCGGCAGGACGGAGATTGGGATACCAGGATCGTGAATTAGGATGCGAATACACGGAATACCCTGACAGATAGACGCTGTAAATTAGTGTTTGAGAAATCCTCGCTAATTCGGACCGTTTGCTCGAACGATATTTACCTACTCGCTCCTTTTCTTCTTTTTCTTTCTTTTTTTTTTTTTTAAGACCACGGATTTCTACCTTTCAATATTCGCGCGAGGGTAATAACTTTAGATCTAGTGATACGTACATTTATCGTGCATGTATATTTGTAATTTTGATGTACTTGTAATTGCTAGAAATTTGTATTTGCGTAGAACATTCTACTTGTACGTCCTTCCGTACGACACTCGAGATTTTGTCAAGATCAAAATATATTCTTCGCGTTGAAAGGAACAAGAGGCTTTTATGTGGTTGAATGGACGAACATATTTCGTAAGCGAGAGGCAACATTTATCGACATTTAACGATAAACGACCGATTGTGTCAGCTATTAATCGTGTTGCTAAGCGCGTATCTTATTGTCGATGCAACATGTTTTCTGCTTTAAATTGTATATTGATCATTATAAAATATCCGCGTACACGCGTCGCACAAGATCATTACTTTCTGATTCTGCGTGATGTGATTGAATACCAAAAATAGGTGAATACATATTTTCTAATTATAGCGATAATTAAGAAAACCTCAACTACAAGGCGTAAAATATGAAATGATATTATTACAGATCAATGAAACGTTTGTCTCTGGCTGTGTATCGTCTTTATGTATATAGAATAATATTACATCTGAAAAATCCTCAAACCATAACAATTTTGTGTATTTTAGGGTGAAACGGAGAAATTCTGTTAATTCCAGTAATTAAAATTGAATATGTTCATTCTTATTCATTGAACGCATTATTATTTCAATACTTAATTTTAATATTTAAATTTTAATATTTAAATAACATTTATACACTGAGAAACCATGTTACACAGAGAAAGCTGTATTATAGAAATTTACTATATTTCCAGCGATACAAACAAATAATTTCTAAACTTAGAAATAAACATACTTAATAACTTTTTTGAATAATATTTTATGGTTTTATAAAATATTAAATATAGTTCTTTAACATTCAATTTGCTGTTATTTACTTGAAGATAGATTTTATCTGATCGAACATTGGCTTGATTTTAATTGGCTTGAAATCGTTTGTGTTATATTATTATAAGGTCATGGCTATTGTCATTATATAAATAAACATGATACCTACAACCCTTAGATACAATGATACGCAAACGATACATTATAGTCTTAATAAGTTTCAACGTTAGTATGCAAACAAGAACACAGGCTGTCTAAATAAAAACATTCACAGTGATTAGACTCCTTTGTTTTTATACGAATTGAATTAATTCTTCATAAAAATTTATGCAAATAAAATTTTCATCCCGTCTGTTGGAAATCTCCGCCTCGAACGTGAATTACAAACAATTTTTTCATAAGAAATATATGAAGATATTATACTGAAAAGACATCTGACAAAATAGATTTTCAAATGCATTGTATATAAAATACATAGAGTGAAAATTTAATAAGGATCTTATGAATTTGCGTTGAATGTGTATATGTTTGATGTTTAAATAACATGTGACACAAATATGTTCTTAAACCAGAGTTTTATTAAGAAGATATAATATCGTTTACACAGTTCAGTAAATATGTTAAAATTTTGCGTTAATTAACATATGTAAAACCAAACTATTGGTCATTTACCTTCAAACGTTAATTTGTTTCTTTTCTCATGGATTTCTAATTCGCAAAAATTATCGCATATACTCAGTGGTTTATACAAATTATTTCGTACATGAAAATATGTACTGTTGGATATTGTCAAAATCTTCTAACTGAAACAAAAAGATCAAAATCTCTAAACTAGAAATTTGAAAGTAAATAAAACATTTTAAATTAGTTACACGGCGTTTAAGCTTAGATTCTTATAAAAACGATCACTGGTAACAGTAACTTGCATTATCAAAGATCTATTAATCACAATTAAAATACGTCCAATGAAATAAATGCTTTTTGGACAAAAATACTAGTAGCTTTTCGTCAGGCGCTCGGTTTGATTGATCTACTATGATTTTCAAATATTCGAGCTAATTGGTGGTTTGTTCACAAGTGGTAATTTTTTCTATTTTTTCCTGTTATACGTATACTTCTCATTAATAATATTTAAAATAGATATATATTTCAAATGAAGATATTAGTCATCGATATTTATGTGACATTCGTCCTTTAGATGTAAATATAATATTTATAATTTATAACGTGTTGTCACACGTGCAACAATTAACCATAATCGGTTACTGTTTAATATAAAATGACATCATCCGAAGGCTTGCAAGTTTTCTGCAAATTTGTGAATTCCATATATTTCAAATAAACCATTTGAATAATCCATTAAATTAAAATTATTCTGTATAATTTCGTAAACGAAGGTAAACTAGATTTTGCATAATTCGATGTTCAGTTGATGTTGCGAAACGTAATTAAACAAATACGTGTAAAATGTAAAAAATTTGGACAAATGAAAGTAGATATTCCACAGTTTACTGTTATTATTATGAACGTTCACGTTCTCGAAAAATGTGGCAACTTTAAATACGAAGTGTATACCTACGTACGTATGTGCAATTATTAACATGAAGATGAATTACAATTATTATAAATAAGATATACCTGTATATGTCTTATTTTTCGCGTGTTACATAAAAAAATAATATCACCAATTAGAAACAAATTTTATTAACGATTATTTCAATGACATTGATATTGTTTATCTCAAAATCATGGTACCTGTATTTTTTAAAAACCCTACCGTAACATTGTGATAACGCATTATAATAATGCGATGAATACGTTACACAGAAACTAACTAAGCGTAGATAGTGTAGCTAGTGGAAACTATCTACGTGTCAAGTCTAAGAATCATTATTAATAAATTATCATTAGATCTGCTAAAACAGTAGCGAACAGCTGCTATCGCAGTTGCGAGTTTTAAATGTCTGTTTGTATAAAAAGAAATTCGAAGTTTATTCAGAAGTTATTTAGAAGAGTGAGAAATTACCGTATAAGAAGTTTAAAAACCAACCAATTCCAACTGAACTTCATTTACCTAAGGATTAAGTTCGGCTTTAATGCAACAAAGAGACTAATCCGTGTAATTGTAGAACGACTAGACAACGAAAAAGCTCGATGAAATCCTGTTTAGTAGTTCAGTGCTTTTAAATATCATATATTTGCTCATCGCAGGTTCTACTTTTGACGTTGGCGATTCCTGAATTTCTGGTTCAATACAACGTCTAAAATGTATGTTTCTTTGACGTAATAAATATATATAAAATGTTGTTGCAGTTACGTTATAAAAATTTCAATCATCAAACCAATGCAATAAACATTTTAATTAGAAACCTAAGCCAACGATATACATAAAAGGATCTTCATTTCCCTTAGCTTTGTAATTATTTAAAGTCTTGTGCAACGTTTATGTACATGGAGGGGAAATGATAGTCTGAAAGTTAAATCTTTACTTTTAAATCTAAAAACAAATTAAAATATACTTTATCGATTGGAATTTAATTTCAAGGGAATATTTTGCCGAAAGGTAATTAAAGATTTTATTTTTTATTTCAATGATTTTAATCGCTTTGGTTACAATGTTTATCCATCTTTATCCGCCTACATTGTAAGATTTCGGTAACGCTGTTTAAGTAAAACGAGATTTTCATTGCATAATGCCTCAACTGCTTTATTGTTTTCTGGTAGCCGAGCTATTTCCAGCTTTCCCTCTTTTGTTGCTTTATTGGCTGCCAGCCACGAGTAGTTTTTGACACTTCACAGCAGGCTGATCTTGTCTGTTATACAAAAGGAATTTAAAGAAATTAGAATGAAACACCATAAAGATCAATCGTCTATGAGAAGATTATACACGATTGATGTCAAATTGCCAATGATATTCCGATCAATAAAAGTCGATATCTTTTAACGTGTCGTTCTAACAAATCATTTTAAGCGAATCTTAGCTCGCACGAAATCGAATGAATGTTTAACATTTCAATGAGCTGAACTGAAATTGTACACATTATTGTAATTTCATATTTTGCCGATTGTCGAGTCTATCAAACAAATATCTAACTGAATGATCTAGAAAACTGACAGCTATCGCGAGAGACATTGGACGTTACAGTTATTCCACGCTAATCTCTAATTAAGGAAATCAGAAAACATTTTTATGATTTTTTAATAGTCTGGAACATTGCTGAGACTAAAATTGCTTGCCTCAAATGAAACAAACCTCGATTACGTTCGATTTTCGGAAGACGAAGATTGAAAAGATAGACATTACTAAAACAAAAACAAAAAAAGACAGTTTTTGTATTATACTTTTCTACCTGTCATCATTAAACCGCGGATTTCTACGCAAATTCTTTTGCTTTTTTTTCTCGCGAATGTAATTAAAGAAGCATAAGTTCGATAGAAAATTGTTTCAAGTATTACAGGGAGCACTATACTTTATATATTTCATACACTTTGTTCATACCATCTGCATCCTGTGCATTTTAGAGTTCCTATAAACGCGTAAAAATCCACCATGGCCATCATGGTCTGATTATCTTACATGCGAAATGTAGTTTTAGTTTCAAAGTACGTGGTGCATAACAGCGAAAGCGTGTTTAATAAAATTACAAGAGTATAATGTTCAACAAAAAAAAGTGTACCATCGGGCAAAAGATGTAAGACAATATTGGAACAATAAGAGTCCTTTTTTTCTTTTCCTTGCTCCTTTTGCAGCGTAACCTTAGGGGAAGATGATGAAGGGAATTAAAAAAAGGCTTACTCGCTTCTTCTATGCAGCCCTTGATTCTAAACAGGCCGATATCCATCGAGGGTCGTTCTATCCGGTCTATCGATTTTTCCTGAAATCCGTTGTTGACCTTAATAGCTGCCTGTCGTTGCTATCTCAATCCAGCTTGCCTTCGAACGACCAAGATCTCCTTAAACATATCAGCCACGAAAATTGTTCGTAAGTATAAAGTAGCTCCATTCATCGTTCTCTAAGAGATACTAAACATATTCAAACAGTATACATACTATACACATGTGAGTGTTTCGAAGCGTGCAAATATTGAATAGAATTTTTTTCTTTTTCTTTTAATTTCTTTCTCTGTTGCATCCACCGATCAATTTCAGTCATTGGAAATCACGCGAATCGACGTAAGATCACAGTTAAATATAATAACATCACGTTAGATTAAAAAAGCAATTCGAAGGTGTTTCGAGAATTTCAATACACTTGAGCACGAATTCGCAATTTGAGTCACTTCTTTAGGACTTTCGTTGATCATTACTGATGGTACATCCTACGTTGATATTCCGGACAAGATACAACCACGCGTTCAATCGAGTTTATTTCGTTTCATCTGTTACGCAGTGGCTGGTCGTCGTTGTTAAGTAGGTAAGCATGCTTACAATTTTTAGATGATCCGCAATCTTGTTAATGCTACCGGATGTTTTCTGTCAAACGACAATGGACTGGTTTCGTAAATATCGTTTCTCATACGGTGGAAATTTGTACGTATGTTGTACGTGAAACTTTCCAAGCCTGTCCCAATGTTCTATGTATAAATCAATTTGTCTGCTCTTTAAGAGAATTTGCAGCATTGCGCGATAATATTTCTAAGTTTAGAACAGGATAGTCGGAAATAAATAAAAGACCTACCTCTTTGAACATCTCTAAGTATCGAAGCGCTGTGGCCGATTTACGTTTTTGGTGCTTCCTCAAGTTTCTAAGATTACAAATTCCCCCACATTTGGTTAAGCATTGGGTGGAAAATGATCTGAAGAAGTTAAGTATTTTTTTCTACGTCAGCTATCCCGAGGGTAGAGGATATAAATACATTTTTAAAGGGCTCGTACTCAAGATAAGTTTATGCTAAAGTAAAAGGCAAGTTCGTTGAGCCAGCTCGAATCAAAAGACGCAGTTTTCACGTCCCACGCTATAGGATTTCTATATCCTTTGGTAAATCCCTTGAATGATTCAACTTGAAACAAACTATTCACATGTACCGTAAATGGTTGCAGAGATATGCGACGACATTATTATCTTGCTATTTTTGTATTAAGGGAAGAATACAATTCTCCAAAAATATATCTGTAAATTATATGCACATACCTACATACATACATACATATGAAATATACAACGTTTCACGATTACATTCTTATCGAGTTTAAACGAATTTGGTAATGTTTAATCGTTTCAGATTTATTCAAATTCTATCCGGATAATTACGACAGATACGTCACGAAGTTTCACGTATAAGATGACACACATAATATGTATATTCTTATAAGTTTTTTATAGCAAATGCTCAAGTACTTCGATGAATCATTCTACAATAAGACTCACAGATATTTATAAATATTAACGCAGAATTATTAACAATCAATGCGTCGAAGCGTTCAAATCTGGATATTTAGAAGCATGTAACAGCATATTCAAATATTTATTTTCAGCTTAATTTCGTGTCCCAGTTCATATCGTGTAAATTACGAAACTAACTGCTGTATATAGTATTCATAGAATTTACGCAGAAATCATTTTATTATCCCGTGCTTGTAGAGAGACGGTTTAATCACATTGGGGATAGAAGGTTTAAACTGAAACAGTAGTTAAAATCCAGACATCCGTCACGCGTAGACGATGCTAGATAAAGCTTCTCATAATTCATTGGTATGATGAGTACCGGTACTTATCTAGAATAGGCAGTGTAACGCAAAAACATCTGACTCAGTAAGTCATGTCCAAAGCTTCAGTTTCTGCTGATTCCCCCAAAACCATAAAATCCTCTGAGCAAGGCCCCTGAGTCGGTCTGCGATTAGATTTCAGAATATCTCTCGAAACGTCTCACTGTGCTGCGCTTCTTTGATCAGCTGTCGAGACAGTTGATAATCGCGGACATGTTAATCCTATTGATGAAGTGGATCGCGAAAAAATGAATCTTTTTTTTTTATTCTTCCTCGATCTGAGACTGCGTAACAACGAACTCAGAATTCATAATTCAGTGCTATAGCCACTTAAAGATAGGCATCTTTATTTTTACTTGTCGCAGGCAAATCGCTCGAAATACCTGGTCGTAGATGAAAAGCGGATCTCGTACGATTATTTCGAAAGGAGACGATGCCGGGCTGAGAAACTACGTTCTTCGAAACGACGTGCAAATGCGTGGCCCATGCACCCTCACAAGGTTCTTCTCTGTATTTAATGGTAGCATCAGGGAATTTTGTATTTTTCGTTACGACCGAGAAATGAAACCGTTGCTTCAGATGTATATCGTACTCAGAAAAATTAAAGGAAGCGATACCAGTGAAACGTTATTATGTCCCACGGCCATCGCACTGCCTAAGGGTTTCCGACATTCACAATAAAAAGAAATATCGTTTTGCCAAAAAAATAAGTTTTATTGAACTGGGAAGTTATCATCAACGCTGCGAATATAGCCCGGGGAACTAAAAAGCCTTTTTGTGCCCGATGTCAAGGTGCCTTTTCTGTCCATTCTTATCTTCAATGGCTAACCCCATGTTAGTAGTCGAAAGTACTATGGCATCGTATGATAATCTCATTTACACATAAAACCATCCATTATTTTAGTTTTCATATAACACTTTCCAATTGAATCGTAAAAAAAAATTATTTCTTAACGCGAAAAAGTTAGATCACACGTGACGTAAAATTTATCTTATCGTATTGTCATATTCACTGTTTCTGAAACGTTGACACGCCCAATTGCTATCTTACAGGCTATATTATTTTTTAGCAAGAAGGAACATTGGAAATGTCAATATCTACTATCAGTAGCGTGAAAAGCGATATCGTGAAATATTCTAATAAGAAAATCAAGGAAATTTTCGAACAAAGACAGGATGGTATTGTCACGAAAATGGAAATAATTTGGAAAGGGACAATGATTACGTTTTCATAACAATTTCAACTCAAAAATGACAATATCTCAAAATTTGAAACGTGACTATGATAATAACAGTGCAATAACGCCATAGCATTTCTATCTGGAATATCGACATTATAAACTACGCATAATTAAACAACAGTTTTGTGCCTCTAACATTTTTTATTATTTTTTTTTAAGTTATTATTTTTTATTAAGAAAATTGTAATTATAACAATGTAAATTGTAATATTCCTTACTTTAAGGAATTTATCTCTTTAAATTTTGAAGTTTAATATTGATAAATATGCCAAAAATATATTCTTTCGCATGAAAAAAGTACTTATTACATACATTTTGATCTACAATGTTGATTCTACAAAGTATAATAAAAATTCTTCGCAAGAAAAGATTACAGATAGTTTCTTCGCGATAAATGGTAAATAAAGAAAAGATAAAAGCAGAATTTCAGATTGTACAATTGTCACTATTATTAAGAATGAACATTTTTTCCTGAATTTATACAACACGCATCCATTAATTGATTATGTGTATCTTAATTAATAACATATATATTTATCAAGTGATAAGAGAAGTGACACTAATGTGCTTATTTGATATTATCAGTTAAGAAGACGAAGTAACATGTGATTCCAAAATTTCGAATAGTATTATATGATTACTACACATCTAAAATATGTAGATTAGTTTACTAACACTGAAGGCCTAAAACAAACTGGCAATTTTAATTAAAGCAATATATGGGCAAAGAGATATATACCTATATACATATATACGAATATTATTTCTGAGAAAATATTACTCCTATTCATTTTTTCTTCCTCGTGAAACACTGTTACTCATATTTTTATGTCAGGCGCAATTAAAAGTTGTTCTTCGATTTCAGTTGATTATTAATTAACTAATTAATCCATCTTCTTTCATGATAAATTTTTGCAGCTTATTTGTGGTAGATAGAATCGTATCATCTTGATGGATATAGTTATCCCAATCGAAATTTTGAAATTAATGCCATCGTGCTATTATTTCAATCATCTATAAATTCTCGGATCAATTGCCTCTGCCACGAAAATAATACAGAATTAGAGTATATGAAATAACAATTACTATTAATTTAGATTAAATTAATTTACTCGTATTATATGACAATTATCGTCACACTCGTTTCGAGTTATTAAGAATTATTTTCTTCTTCGTGTTAACATCCTCGTAGGCTAGTTTATGATATTAAAAAAGAAAGAGAGACTATTTTTGAATCAGGATATCAGTTAAACTTGACTATCGCTATATTAAGCCCGGATATCATTTCTGCTATTATATACAGCCTGTCTGGAAATTTAACGGAATTGTCAATATACGTATTGCTGTTTTGTATTATCACTAACATTTATCGTATTTTTAAAAAACGTTCATATTTTATTCAGAATATATTTGTCCGGCATCGATACAGTATTGGACGTATAAACGTTAAACGAACGAATATATAAGTTTTTGACGATCTGTTTTTGAAATTGTCCGGGATATTCCAGTCGCGGCTACTGCGCTTGTAATGTTTTCCTAACGAGTCTTTTATTGCAATCACCTTTTTCATTTGGTTTTTAACGTCGCATTAACTTCCCAGTTGTTAGCGACGAAGTTCGTTCTGTTTTTGAATTCCTGAGAGTAGCAAGTAGTTATAGAGCGTGAAATCGGCTGAATATGTATCAGATGAATATGAAATGAGCAAGTCATTTGCTCTTTAGCGGAGAATTCACGTAGTGTTCAACCAAGTACGCCGAGCTACGATGAACAGGTTGCATTATCATCGAAACGAAGCCAGATTTATTAAGCAAGACGCTATGACTAGTATGGTATGAGCTTTACATCATGTGCGTTCGAAGCTCATTAAATATTAATACTTGAATACTAAACTGAAAATATAAGTTTCAAGGCGACAGTAACGATTGGTAGGTAGCATTCACAGAGTAACTTGAAGAAAACGAAGTGCGTTATTTTTCAGACAGATTGAATGGGCTTATCCAAATTGGGCGTCGCATCTTCAAATTGAAATAAAACACAAATTATTTGATATCTTTGTTTCAACATAATACCTTTGTTTTAACGTAAGATTTATTTCATGACATTAGTTGAAGAGTGGAAGTAACAAAGGCTGTAAGTGGCACTTTAAAAGAGAAAACCTTTTTCTTGAGAATAATTGTGAATAATATCAGTAAATATGGAACGAAATGTTAGTGTGATAATTCATACAGTTTGTAGCATTTCGTACGTGATATTATGTTACGCGATTAGCTTTTTAAATTATGCTGTAAACGTCATGTTCCAGCGAATCTACTACTTCGTGTTCGAACATGCACGTGGATAAATCTGCTCCAATTATTCTAACAAATAAGAAAATCTGTATTGGCACTTACAATCATTTTAAGGAATATATGTATCAAACCTAAATTCTCTCTTAGAATATAAAATTCTTTTTATTGTTAATTATCAGATATTTGAAATATTCAAATAATTGATATATAAATATATATGATAATAACAAATTTTTAAATAAGAATACATTATAATAAGAATATTGTAATAAAGTTATATAAAGTAGTATGGTACGTTTAATGAATACATTTTGTATAATAAATAACATTTTAGTAAACAAAGCATTGTTTTCTACAAAACTTACAGTTT